GGGGGGAGAGCGAAGAAACAGCTGTTTAGAAAGGAAGTTGTGATCTGCCCTTTCGACGGCCGGGTAAATCGGTTTCTGATAGTCTTGTAGTATGGTGGCTGAGGTTAACCAACAGCAGGAGCACCCACTGTGCTCAGTGGCACCTTTGCCCGCTGTCTGCAGCCCTTCTGTCTCTTGACTTTCTTCAGTTTTTACTAAAACAAGCGCCGGTGAGCCAACTTAGCCCCAACAGATGATCCATATCAGATCTCTCCATGTGTTTTGCAGGTACAGCCTTCAGGTTCTACTAGGGATTTATGTTTGTATGGCTGTGCAGGTGTCAACAAGGGTGTGTTGTGATAGGACAAGAGAGTATGGCTTTCAACTGACAGAGGGTAGGTTTACATTAGATATTAGGAAGAAGTTCTTCCCTGTGAGGGTGCTGAGGCTCTGGCACAGGGTGCCCAGAGAAGCTGTGGCTGCCCCATCCCTGGCAGTGTTCAAGGCCAGATTGGACACAGGGGCTTTGAGCAACCTGGTCTAGTGGAAGGTGTCCCTGCCTGTGGCAAGGGGGGGGAACTGGATAGTCTTTAAGGTCCCTTCCAAACCATTCTGTGATTCTGTAGCAGCACTGCTTACCCTGCAATGTCTGCTCGAATTAGGAAACTGCTGAGTCCAGACAACTGGGAGAAATGCTTCCTCCAGGAAAGAGCATTTGCCTGTCTGTTGTTATAGCTCCAGCTGGTAAAAGGAAGCAGAGGCAGAAGACTTTGTGCCAGAATTTGGTCAAGGTGGAAGTTTTTTTAGGAGTAACAACAAACATAAGATATTTACAAGGTGATTTTGGAAGTGGGGAATGAGAGACGTTTCTCTGCTTTTTGAGGAAAATCTCACAAACAAGCCAGTGTTGAGTATGAGGGGACAGAACTTGGAGTTTAAATAGCAACTTCTGATTTGTAAGCAGTGATTTATCTCTATGAAACACCTCTTTAGAGTGGTAGGCAGAGCTTGTGATAGGTAATTTTGCAACTAGTCGTTATTTGAGCAATTTTTTTTAAAGAAGTCCTGAAATACAGTTGTTTTGGCACAAAAGCCTTGATGCCTTAGAAATTTATGAATACAGTATATGAATAAGCTGGACATATTAAGTTTTCTTCGTCTAGCTGGCATGTATATTGTAGCTGGCAATAGAGGTTGTGTGTATAAAATGTTATTCAGGAAATGGCAGTGGTTGGCTTGGTACAGTTTGAAAATTGCATGTGTAATGGAAGATAACCTGCATAGTTGCTTGTGAAATAATGATTTCCTTCCCCATCTTCAGTGTGATGACTAATACGTTATCTGGACATCTCTTCTGAAAACTTGGAGTTAATCAAAAAGCATGTGTACTTTTACTAAAACGTCTTCAGTGTTTTCTGTGTGCATAAATCTTACAAGTTCGGTTAATATTTTTGTAGGCAAAAGTAAGCTTTTTCCCTTAACTACTGTCTGTGTTCTTCTGAAATACTAACAGTAGCTTCTGCTATTTCAAATTGCTGAAATTAATTTAGCACCATTCTGAGGGGCTTCCTTATTTCAGGACTTGTCTTGGCAAATGAACTGTAAAATTTGTTTACCTCTACAAGCTTTGAGAATAATCCCACTGCGGGAATAGCTAATAAAGTATTTCTAGTTAACAGTGTGGCTTTGAGGAGGGATAGTAAAACAGACAAGTTTTACTACCAGGTTCTGTTTTAAGCTGCGTTCATCCATGGATTTTCTGATTTATGTGTATGTTTTCAAACTTTAACAGGGTGCATGCAGTTCCACTTCAGTAGGGTTTATGCACATCCGTACGTGACATGGGGATTTTTTTCTGATTTACTAGAAAGATTTATCCTTTCCTCCGCTCTGCCGTTTCCTTTTTGTAGAGTGAATCTCTGGTGGTTTGTGATGTTGCTGAAGACCTGGTGGAGAAACTGAGAAAATTCCGGTTTCGTAAAGAAACCAACAATGCTGCCATTATAAGTAAGTTAAAAACAAGTCTGACAAAAATTGCAAGGTCTTGCAGAAAGTTCTGTCTCTTTACCTTCCCACGTAATGTTGCTGCTGTAACAGGTAGAGATGAGCCAAGAGGCTGTTTCTTGTATGAACTTAAGTTCTTCCAATTCTGCCTGTAATTTTAACAGTAAAGCAACACTTTTTCTGACACAAGACTGCATCTGCTCTTAGTATTTATACTTAATTGTAGCTCAGAATCTACCACTCTTTGTAAAATGATAGTAAAAGACATCTAGGCACAGTAATTTTGAGTTTGTAAGTTTTACAGCCTATAAGTAGGGGGGGGTGTTGACTTTTCTGTCTTCGGAATTTGAGGATAGTGTATTGCAGTGAACCCCGCTCAGACTGTGCACGTCTGACCTCAGTGATTTTGTGAAGTCGTGGTATGAAGCAGCACAATGGAAGCACAAGGAATATACTTGTGGGGGAATGTTAAAATGCTTCATGCATACGTTGTATAAATTGATAGAAACATTGATCTCTCTTTATTTTGATTTATAGTGAAAATCGACAAGGATAAGCAGTTGGTGGTACTGGATGAGGAGCATGAGGTTTGTTAAATGAATTGTAAATAAGAGTATCTTCAGCCTGCAATGTATTGTTGTCTCTAAGGTACTGCCTTAGTTTCAAATTGTTATCAAACTCTTAATCTAATTTGGGTCATGAGCTTATTTAAATGCATGGTCACTCTGCATGTAAAGCACAGCACTATTAATAGTGGAACTATGCAGAAGCAATTGAGTTGACTAATTAATTGCACAAAAGAAAAAGTTATTTTAAAGCTGTTAGGACACAGCTATGTGAAAAGCATTTTTTACACCTGCTGGCTGTTTGAAGAGGTTTCTGCTGTGTTTCCATATAGAGCTGCGTATTTGAATCTGAGCTGGTCTGCCATCAATTAGAAGCTAGGATTGCTAATCCTTTGCAGGCTCTAAATTTGATGGGTGGCATAATAAGGTCAGCCCAGCATGTAGTGTTTCTTAATAGTACATAGGGAAAAACTAAATCCTTCCCAGGGATTTGAGCATTAACCATAGCTCTTATTCCCTAGAATGTAGGAGTTAATGTAGCATTTAAATAGAATGAGGACTCTTTTTTGCTTGCTCTAGGAGGAAGGACTGATTTTTTTTTTTTTTTTTTTTTTTCAAAAGAACCATTTATGTAGCTGATTTTAGCAGATACTTTTTAGTGAGTGCTTGCTTCTTCTGTTTAGCACTAGAGTTAGAAAAGCATGATAGCTGCCAGCACATACAACTAGAGCCAGAAATATTTTTTAAACTCATTATGCCTAAAATAGGGATGATTACTCATGCTAACATTAATTTTGTGTTGGGTCATAGTAATCTGTTAGCACATGAGTTTTCCTAAACTGCTGTAGTAATTTGAGAGATGGTTACCAGTTCAGCTGTAGATATACACCTGGCTTACAGCTGTTTCGCTATTCCATTATTCTGCTTTAGCCTTCTTAGTTTACCTTGACGTGCAAGATCATGTACTCAAATATTGTGTTTAATGTTACCAGGGTATTTCTCCTGATGAGCTAAAAGATGAGCTGCCTGAGAGACAACCTCGATATCCTTCTTATACTGCTGGCATTTGGTCTTACTCCTGGAAGCTGTTCAAAACATTCAAAGTTGGACTTCACCTTCTTGGGCCCATACTTGCCTGTAGTTTGACTTTACCTATAGTTCCTTTGTGAGATAACCTAGGGATCAGTTATGATGTGCTGAGCAGTTGTCCCACTTGCTGGAACAATGACTGACACATTTAAGCCTTTCCGAAGCTTTTATTTCTCTTTAGACTAGATAATGTTTGGGAAAGTAAAGCGAAGCCACACTGCTGTTAATGTAAAGAAGTGAGTAAAATGTTCCAGTTTTGTATGTGACTACTTCTAAATGTAGAAAACTGCCTGTGTAACTTAGGGTCTGTTTTGGTACTTTCTCAGTATGTGGCCCTTGCTATTTTGCTGCAGTTACTGATTCTGGGAGTGCTGTAGGCATGTGATCTAGGGAAGAGTCCCTGTATTTAAAAATAAAAGAAAACCCAAAAAAATGGAAAAGAGAGGGACAAGTATATTATTCTTTAACTAGATGAAATAAAAGGGGCGCTAAAGTTAAAAGCGAAGAAAATACCAGCCTCAAAAGCTGGCTGGCACTATTCCATGTGCTGTTCTGAATCTTTCATCACTGTAGTGCAGTAGGAAGGTGTAAAACAGGAGTCCTAGCTAAAACTTGAGTCGTATTCAGCAAAACACCTGAAACAATGAGGTGATTAGTCTGCAAAGAAAGATTTGCCTTTTAATAAAAGAGAAGAATTGTAATTTCAGTAAGAGAAAGAATTTGCCTTTCACTAGCCAGAAACATGTTGGTGGGTGTGGGAAATCTTTTTACACAGCTGGGAGCATTTGTGATGAAACAGTGATTTTTAGCTCTGATGTGAAACAGTAACGTAGAGACAGCCCTTGCACCCAGCACTGGTAGAGAGGTTGGTGAAGATGGGCAGGGTCGGTTCTGAAAGTCAGATATGGAAGCTCTGATAACCAATGATTATATGCTATTAAAATCATTGATTTCTTAGTTTCTTTAACCTCAGAAAAAACATTTATTGTGTATAGTTACAAGTATCAGCATGAAGACGGAAGAGTTTCTTATCCTTTGTGCTTTATCTTCTCCAGTCCAGTTGGTGAGTGAACATTGTGAATAATAGCTAGTATGTGCTGTAAAAAATGGAATATTCTTTGCTATGGAAGATAAAATGAGTTCTTAATGCCAGCATATGGATTCACGTGCTTAAGACTAGATGTGCTTATGCCACTGCTGGAAGCAAGGCACTGTAAAGCTATGGCATTATCTGGAGACTTCTCTGGCAGAGAGGAATCTCTGTTCACACCATCAGCTCATGACAAGTGCTTCCATCTGCCCAGTTGCACTGTCTTTAGGGGTTGACATTTAGGATAGATGATAGAACAAATTCTTTCTTTTCCATTTCTAAAAGCTAAGCGGAAGTGTTGGCTTCCTGCATAGCTGGCCAAAAGATGTGTCTTCCTAAATGTGCCTGCGCTCTGTGTTCTTGGTGGTGTGCTCAGCAACACCCTCCTGTAAAGGAAAGGAGCGTAGAGCACTTTGCATGTAGTCGTGCAGGTTTAACTTAATGGCTTTCCTGTCACCCTCTATTCAAATCTTGGGGAATCTTCAAGATACGACCAGACAAGGCTTGGGATAAGTGAGGAGAGGGCTGGAAGATGCCACCACTGTTCCTGAGGGCTTCTGTTCACCCCGTCCATCTTGCTATTCTGATGTTAATGACTGGGTGGGGGGAAATTCCTCTCCTCAGGAGACCATGGGAACCCGTGTCTACCCGTGAGAGGAACAGGACTCTAAGAGGATTAGCGTAGGACTTGAGAGGAGAGTTTTACAGGGACCTGTATGCGGTGAGCGGCATCAGAGGATGCTTCCAAACAGTGCTGTGATTTGAGGTCTAAAGGGCTGCCACAACTGTTGGTGAAGGAGTGTGAAGAGGGCTCCATAACCCAGATCTGGGCAGGTGGAAGTGCTGGGTGAACAGACTATGTTTCAAAAGAAAGAAATTAATCTTGGATCATTCCAGGTTTATATAGAGCAGTAGATTCCTCTGCTTGTGCTACATCAACCCTCAATATAAACATACCTGTGCAGGGAACTGTGATTTTAATAGCCAAATTACCTGCATGTACTTGATGTGGATTTAAAGAGGTGAATTGCTCCTGTGGTTTCCATCTGTGTTCTGAGTTGTAACAGGGTAGGTTGCTGGTATTACTGGATTATCCTTGTTATCCTATAGAAGAAGATAAAGTGATTGCATTGTTTTACCCTTCGTTACTCAGGACTAGAATAACTAGATAGGTAAAAGTTTAGCAGCTACTGGGTATATGCTGCTTTAGTTACCTGAGAATCTTTGCATGAATGTTACGGGTGTTACTTCTCTTCTGAAGGAGAGGTATTTTGTGATTTAGAAAAGCAGTAAGAAACTTTCTGGGAGACCTTGAAAAAGCAAATCAGGCAGACTTGCAGTACTTCATAGGACAAGAGAGCTTAGACAATGCTCTTTATGGGTGGCAGGATTTAAAAGTACTTGTATCTAGAAAATTCTAAACAAAAGCCTTTTTGAGGTTTTCTGTTTCAAAAAAATTTCTGCAAACAAACAAGTTAGTGGTTAGGCTGACACTGGAGTCACAAAAACCATTAGGTGGGACTCTGAACAACAGTTAACTTCAACTATGACTGAAGTTGGTCTGTGTTCAGGGCAGGAGGAGGGGAGTGTGTGTCACTTTGACCTACTAATTCAGTTGGGGTATTTGGGGAGAGATTAGGAAAAAGAATAACAAATTTGAACCAACTTGGCTTGTTCTCAGTTTTGACTCCAGCTCAAAGGCATATGATACAAAGATCTGTGTAACTGTAACGAGGAAAACCATGGGAATCTTCCAGAAATAGCAAGAGGGTGAAAAATTGAATGTAGTGTAATCAGCACATTACTGTAGTGGCAGGAGGTACTGCTTTGTTGGCTCTTGTGGTTTGACTGCTGCCATATTTGATGTTGGCTCAGAAATGTTGGCATGTTGAGACTACCAGTTCAACCTGCACAAGTGTTACTTCCGAAAACGCCTTTCAAGTACTAGATATGAAAGTAAGAGCAAGGGTGAGAATGTGCATAAAGAAATAGGTCACTTTTCCTAAGTGACCTCAGCTTTCAGTTTGGATTCTTTAAACAAAAAAAAGAAGAAATTCTATTTGAAGTGTTGCAGTCAAAATAACTAAACAAAACCTCTGTTTTCCCACACAACTACAGGATGTAAGCCTGAACAGCAGATGATGTATGCTGGAAGCAAGAATAAACTTGTACAGACAGCTGAACTCACTAAGGTATAACTGTCTCTTCCTTAAATGCAAGTTGCAGAAGGTGGCTTGTGCCTTGCTTGAACCTATCGCAAGAAAGATGTTACCAGACTTTGTAATTACACTGAACAGATTGTTTTAGGAAGTCTGAAGAGAGGAGTACATGTGGGGATTTCTGGAGGTTGAGGATTTAGGAAGAACAGTAGTCACACATATCCTTTGGTAGGATGGATGTCTTTACTTTGGGGGGTGAATTTATTGATGGGAGGAATAGACAGAAGTCTTAGTATGGTGTGGCACAGACTAGTTTTGCTGCACTGTTTACGGGGTTGTATGCTTGCAGAACATAGCCTCCAGAATAAGTTAGTGTGTACCAAGTGCTGAACAATTCTAAATCTTCTTTTGTTTCCTTCCTCCAGTACTGAGATGAAAAGAGATCACTGCATTTACTAGGGCTAGGTGTATATATGTTTAAAAATGAAAAAAGCTACCTAATTGTCATTTGGGAAATCTTTGAAATCTCTGCTTTTAATTGGTACCTAGACTTCAAATTCTGGTTCCAACCAGTAAGGCTAAATAGTCAGTGGTCACTTCGGGTTTTTCATATGTGAAATGACTTCACCATTCCCCAACAGCGCTCTTCCCTTTTGGTCTTCCTTATCCTGACTGAGTACTGTAACATCCCAGTAAAAATGTATATTGGGCTAGTAAGAGAATTGTGAACTTCTACCTGTTCTAGCTGTACCATGTAAGAAAGGACCTTTTTGTTTTAAATTAGATGTCAAGTTGGCAGAACTAAATAGGAGTGAAGCAGAAGAGAAGATGGTGGAAACAATCAGTACAGCCCCAAGAAATCTTTGTTTAGGTCTGTTGAAACTGCATCTTAAAGGCCTGACAACTCTAGCATTTTTGATAGGAAGGATTGCTCAAGGAGGATGGCAGTTTTCAGCAATAGAGAAGGAAGAGTTGATTGGTGAGGCACTGGAATAGGTTGCCCAAGGAAGTTGTGAATGCTCCAACCCTGGAGGAGTTTAAGGCCAGGCTGGACAGAGTCTCGGGCAACATAGTTTAGTGTGTGGTGTCCCTGCTCATGGCAGGGAGGGTTGGAACTAGATGATCTTAAGGTCCTTTCCAACCCTAACTATTCTATGATTAGAAGGTGAAAGCCTGGGGACTAGCTCTATGTGAGTTACTAGCACCCGTCAAGTAGGAGAAATTCACTCTGAAAGGGTTTTGAATGAAAGCCTAGGAGTGAATATGGAGGTCTGATCATTTTCCTTCTGAAGCTGGAGAAGATAGCCTGACTTCAGGTTGCTTACTTGCACTTCAAATGTGCTTTATTCTTGCCACTCACGGAGCTATGTTTCATTTTAGCTCATGCTGCGACTTCCTCCTGGTGTGATTTCAGCATGTGACTCAGCTGAGTCCTTTTATTTTTCCAGTGGCTTGCATATTAGCTTGGCTTCTGTTAAACTGTTCTTATAACACTGAATTTTGTGGGTTCCCCTTATCTTTTACTTTAAAAAAATCAGTATTGGTTTGATAGTAGTGGATTACTGTCCAAATACACAAAGCGGTGTTCAGAGCAGAGATGGAAAATGAGGAAGAAAAAATACAAAACTTGAGTTGTTTCCTGAAGAAGATTAAAATGATGAAATGGCTGAGGACAGGACTAAGTAGGAAGTTCACTCCAAATGGCAGGTTCACAGAGAACCTTGTTTTGTGAGTCTCAAAATCCCAACCATTCTGTTGGCCTGAGCATGCTTTTTGCAGCAAGGTGCTCCATACCATTAGAATCAGATAACTGATTTGGTGCTGATGTAGCTTTATTTTCAGTGTTGTCAGTATTTAAAATTTTAAAATATTTTTGTTTTCGTTGCTAGAAGAATGCTTTTGAAAACCTGTGGATTTTTAAGGTCTCATCCATCCCAACCCATTCTGTGATTTGTAAAAGTTACTTGGCTTTACCAGATGTTAAACTTGTTTGTATTCTTCAAATAGACAGGTTTTTTTTGCTGAGATAACAATTATGAGATGGTGCCATTTCAGAGTAACTTTAAAATGTAGTACATGTGCTGTTGCCACATACTCTTAAAGAAGAGGGAAGCCTAGAAATAGGAATTACAGTATTCTTGTTCCAGTTAGGAATATTCCTTGCCACTTAATCTTGTGGATTTTCCACTGATGTTACTTTAGAATACTAACCAATCCTTTCAAGAAAGCACATGAAAACTCTAGCTTGGTTACTGGCTTATTACAGCTCAAATTGTGCCTTCAGTTGTCTTCATTGTATGCTTATCCCTTTCAAGTACCATCACCTCAAGAATTTCTGCAATGCAATTTTGTTTAGGTATTTGAAATAAGAAACACAGAAGACCTAACTGAAGAATGGCTGCGTGAGAAACTGGGCTTCTTCCATTAAGAAAACCTCTGTAATAAGTATTTATGTACCATCCTGATAATACTGGAACCAGACGTGAATACTTACATCTAAAAAATGCACTGTATTTACATCTGTCTCCTGCAATATCTCTCTTGTGCAAAGTTTGTGCAAAGAATAGCAGGTCTGTCTCCTTGAAGTAACAAATCTTTGCAGGTGTTTCCTTATTTGTACCTGTTAAAAGGGAATACTCCTCTGCAGGGACTCCTTTTGCACTCTTGTAACTAATATTTCTATAACTAAAACAGTTCAGTTCTGGATTTATAACTATTTCCAAACATAATTTGGAAGCTGACGCTAACTTTTTCTGAGCTACAAATGCATCCTTATGACATACTAGCCATTTATATGCAAAAATTGTCTACTGTCACCTACTTTTCAGATTTTGTGATTTAATGTCAGTAATGAAAACTACTCCCTGGAAGCATTTAGTATTAAAAAGACAAAATCATTGTATAGCAAATCTTTCCATCGAGTCTATGTGAAATTTCTCAAATTCCCGGAACTAATTTTTGTTATTCCAGTAATTCCTCAGTTGAGTCAGTCTTAAGAAATTTCAGGGCAAAGCTTTGACTGTCCATTTCTCATGCTAATACAGTCTTACAGGAACTAGATGATAACTAAGGGCTGAATTACAACTCTGGTTACTCTTGTACCAGATGTCTTGCATATATAACTTATTACACTGTTAAGAAGTTTACCTCTGCTCATCTCCTGTTATATGAACACGTGTTAATACTGTGTGCCTTTAATTTGTTAGCTTTAAAATGACTTGAGAATTTTACACTGCCACTTACTACAAATTTGGTAAAAGCTTTGTTAAAGAATCCAAGTAACATTTTTTTCCTAGTGCCTATTGTTGCAGCTGACATCTGTTTAAATAAAAAGAAGCCAACCTCATTTTCTTTGAAATTCCAGTCATCTACTCCATTTGTAGGAGTCAGGAGGTTAAAGCTTTTCATGATAATGAATGATTTATATCTCTTTTGTTACAAAAGTTGGCCACACATAGCTTTTGAGTACTTAAATTACAGTCTCTTTCTTAACTGCTTGTTGGTCAAAATTACATTCCAGATAAAGCTTTTGCATAAGTGATAATTTGATTTTTCATTTACTTACGGTTCATCTCTTTGAAACAGCAAATATTCTAATGTGAAAATAGTATTTAACTTTTATAAATGACCAGTCTTTTTACAGGTCTGTTTTATATTGAATAGAGTAGTTGTCTGACATGGGACATGTTAAGCCCATGCAGTGGCAAAAGGAGTACTCATGTGACAGTATCTCACTATCTTGTGTTTGTTGTGCTGCTGAATAAGTATCTGCATAAGAGCAGCTTCCTGTTGATAATGTACCTTAAAATACAGCTGCCCTAACAAATCTGTTTGGTGGGAAGGAATGCAGTGTTAAATTTGGAGGCCAGTATTTCATGCTGTGAAACCTTTGCTGAAAGGAGGTTTATTTTCATTTGTAAACATATGTTGTGTTAGTGTTAAAACACTAATTCCCCTGACATCACAAGGAATTAATTTGCAAAGGTCCTCAGTGTTGGTAAATCTCTTCTTAGTTTGATGTTACTGCTCATTTATTTGTATACAAACCTGACTTGAGAGGAGCTTTTCAAAATACATGTTAGAATGATGCAATTAAATTGATCTTTCAGTTTGGAAAAGAAATGCTTGTAACTAAATTTCTATGTTAATGTAGTGAACTGGAAAAACAATTTCACTTCCCTGGACAAAAAAAAAATTCGATTATGAAACTGTTGCTTGATCATGGTGTACTACAGATCAATAAACCCCATGCCTTTTGTGACAAACGTATAAATAAGACTTTGGCTTGAAGAATAGCGTCATTTTAAGTATCACTCTTGAAACAGGAACAATTGATCTCATTTTGTGGTGTTGTGCTAAGGGTAAGGCATGTCAAAGTACAGCGTGGGTGAGAGGGAAGCTGCCACTGGCAATGTTCAGCTTGATTTGCGGTGGGGAAAACTGGATTAATCATCTTTCTCATTGTACTTTGTACACTGGTGGGCTGCCAGCATCCAGCTGCTGCTTGCACAGGTCTTGACAAAAATAACAGTGTAAGGGCCTGTCTCTCAGGAGGGGAGGAGCTGCTGCAGCCAAGTGATTGAATTTGGTTCTTCATCTCTGCATCACTCCACCTTCTGCCAAGAAAATATTGCTGCTTACAGCTGTATCAGAAAGAAGTTCTTATTGCCTCCACTCAAGGACTTTGTGCCTTGGGTGCTGCCCCTCAAGCCTTGCAGAAAGTAAACGAATCCTGATGAGAGTGCTAAAGCCCACTTTCTTGTGAAGGGTGATTCTATGATGCTGCTCAGCCCACCAGTATTACTCATCAAACAGCCCTGGTAGCTGTATCTCCTTCTGCTCTCTGAGCTGTGGAAGTGAGGAAGCAGCTGCAGGTACTTGGAGAATGAGAGTGCAGAGGATGTTTGCTGTTCTAGGCTTGTTTGTGGTTTCCTTATTTTTAATACAGCGTTTTGACACAACTGTATGGCGTTTACTGTCCTGGGCTCTCAAGATACAGGTAGTGCTAATGCTTGATTAAACAAAGACATTAATCATGTCAATCTTCCTGCACAAATAATACTTGTTTTTTATATTTTTTTCCTACCTTATCTTTTTTTTTCTGTACTGCTGCCCCCTTAAGGGAGGCACATGTGTCCATGTTCAGGAGGCCAGTATGTTCTCACTGCGCTTTATTAGCGAGTTGCCCATCTGTAATCATACATTTTTGTCTTGAATTTTCAGATCTTTAAAGAGGGTTCAGACAAAAGGACAACATAAATTAACTGAAGGCACCTATGGGAGCCTTTGTAGCTAAAGGTCTGAGAGTCAGCATTTTCCATTGTGAGCTCCTATTTTTCAGGAGCTTGTAAGTTGGCCATAAAATCCTTGGCCTGGAGTTAAAATTGAAGGTCTCTCAAAGGGAGAATTCTGCCACAATTAACCTGGTTTGCTTTAAATATTGACTAGATGGCTGGGATGCAGCTCTTGTAATCTTATTAATTGATGGTAGACTGAATTAAAGCATGAGTTTGCATGTCAGCCTGTAAAATGGACTTGTTTGAATATTTTTAACAAGAAAAAAAATAAATGCTGGTATTTGATGGTTTTAAGTGTTTCTAGTACCATGAATGCTGTTTTGATCTATCAAAGGAGGCAATAATGTGGGTGTTGACACCTTTTCATTTCTCCAAAGGAGCATCTTAGGCATTTGTACTAGGATTCCATTTTTGTATTTTTAACTTATCAAAGTCCAGAAACTATGTTAAACTGGTAACAAGGGTCTGAATCAAACATGCAAAAGCGAGGGAGTTCAGTTCCTCACTTCAATGTGCTCAAAAAAGAAATACACAATACATTTTGTTTGGATACATCTAGTGAAATGGAGGTGTGGTGTGATCCAGACTCAGTGTGACCTGCGTGCTGTGAGACGTCAGGGTTGGCACCAATGCCGCAGGTAGTAAAAGGTGCAAGAGGTTCATGGCCAGTTTTGAGAATTTGGCAATTCCATGAAAAGAACAGCACAACTTCCATATGCTGTTTAGTCTCTGCTAGTTCACATTGCATGTTTACTTTAAACCAAATCTTTTTTGCTAAGCGTGGTGCTTGTATTGGTTTAAATAAAATGTTTAATTAAGAGGTTCTGGTGCCCTGTTTTAATTGCAAAGTAGCACATCTAGCATGGGTGTCTGACAGAGAAAATCTGTTAATACTAGTCATAACTTTCCTCCTTTTCTCAGCTTCCCGGAGTTTACTTTGGACTTGTAGTGTGGTCTTCAGTCCTGAATGTGCTCCCTCACTTGCTCTTCTACCCAAAGTAATTCCTCTTTCCATCTGTTGTGAAGGGTGGCAGCAAGGGAGAGGACAGCAGCTGATGGAGTACCACAGGGTAACTGCCATAGTCCTCTGCTGCTTTGCATCTCCATGTCACAAAACTCAGTGTGTATATTTGTGAGCTGTAGGCACCATGAGAGCTCAATTTCATTCCGAAATGCCACATAGACTTCCATGTTGCACTTCATCCACAAGGCCAAGGCTCCTGGCATGACCTGGAGCAGTGAAATACAGTATAGAGTGCAGGTGCCAACTGAGCAATGTTAAGAGTAGTTGTTGAGGAGGCCTCAAAGCTTGAAGGAGTCCTCTTTCCTGGCAAAAGACCACTAGATTAATTTGATTGAAACACTTGTTTTCCTCATTCTTGTTGACACTTTATTCCTTTCTTGATCTTTGGAGGGTTGTGGGGCTTTTATATTGTTGAAAAAACTACTGAAGGTAACCCAAGGAATTCATACTATGACATACATTGCTTCTGCCAATGCTGAAGAACAGCACTAATGGGCCCCAGATTAGGCATGACAGAGGTAACCTCCTTGTCTCTCAAGTGAGCTCTGTGAAGGAGAAAATGCACAGCTGCTTCAACATATCTGGTCCTTGAATGGCATCTTGATGGCCTCAGTATACTGAAATAAGATCTGTTGCCAGAAGCTCTGAAGAAGCCAGTTTATGCTGCTGTGGGAGAAGAATGGTTCTCAAGAACAGCTGATTAAAGCAAAGGCGGGGGGAAAAGGAATAAATAGTGCTCACATCAGAGCGGGAGGTCACCTGTGGAGTCCTGTGGCATTCTTCGTTGTTCACTGAGTATGATTAGAAAATGAGGACATAGCTTACTGGTACTGCTAGATCACTGAGACAGTAAAACCACAGCTGACAAAAAGAATTGCAAGGAGATCTAGGGATACAAAGTGAAGGGCAGCTGCTTTCATTCAGGAAAGATCATTGGTGTGTAATAGTTACATGAAAAGGGCAGCTTAAAGTGGCCGTTAAAGTCAAAGCTAGAGAAGGGAATAGGAGCCACAATGGCAAACCTGTGTGCAGCGGTGCAGATCTGCAAGGCACATGTAGCCTCGGTATCACACACAGCTGTGCTTTCTCTTCCAGGGGTGTGGATGGGTGGCTTGTCAAGGGCTAGGAGGAGTTTGCTAAGGAGCTCCCTTGACTTGACAGGGTCTTTGGGGATAATGCAAAGGAAAAAAGTAGCTGGCTCTAGAGGAGCTGGAGCAGTTGCTGTCCATATATGTGGGAGCCCATCCCACATGTCCCATTCCTGGCAGTGTTCAAGGCCGGGTTGGATGCAGCTTTGAACAACCTGGTCTAGTGGAAGGTGTCCCTGCCCATGGCAGGGGGTTGGAACTAGAAGAGCTCTAAGGTCCCTTCCAACCCAAACCATTCTGTGAATCTGAGTCTCCTGGCAATGAAAGGGACACCAGGCAAAGGATCTCGTGAGCGTGCCTGTGCCTACTGTTTCATGTCCCTCATGGGTCATGGAGTTGATTGGAGTACAGGCTGGTTCTCCCAAGCAGGGCAGGTAGTGCTTCTCACAGGCAAAGGTCCTGCCACCTTGTGTTTGGGTGCAAGTGGGGGTGGGGAAGTCAAGCACAAGCAGGTAAGATTCTGAGAGGCAGAATGTCTGGATATTGAGCAGCCTTAAGGAGGAGCGCTGGCAGGGAGGCTGTGGGACGGTGTAAAAGTGGTTGGGGTTTATTCTGCAACATCCTCTGTGGTAGGGATGATGATTTTAGGTGGGCCTCACCCCTTGGAACAAAAGCCAAGGACATGTGGCTGGTTGGCCATCCCCTGTGCCTGTTAGTTAGTTTGCACAACTGTGCCATGTGCAGTGTTGGCAATGTCCCCCAGGGACAGCAATAGGGGAGACCTCACCTCTGTGGGGACATTGCAGGGGCTGACCAAGGCGCCTCTCAGAACAGGCACACTAGCTGCTGTAGAGACCCAGTGAAGCTTTGGCCCAGTCTAGTTGGACTGTTCCTGTGTTACAGCACAAAACAGAACAACACTGGTCAACCTGCTGAGATGTGGCTGGTTGGAAAAAAAACACACGCTCAGCTTCATGTGGAAAAGTCTGCAGGGAGGGATTCATAGATCTCAGTGCTGGAGCTCTTGGGCTTTTCTTCTACATGTGTGACTAGTTTGGTAACAGTTACTCTCTGGATGGTCTTAGGGCAGGCTACTGCTTCTCTCTGATAGCAGAGGAAGAGTTGTGGAGATGGTAGCAAGTTGGTGGAGGGACTGTTGCTTCCCCATCTCCTCCAGAAGGATATTGAGCCCAAGGAATCAGTCCTGTGCACGGAGCTGGCCTCCGGGCTGGCCTGGGTACACAGCTTAAACTGTAACTGCTGGGGAGGAGTGAATTCTTCTGGGATCTGTGAGGAAGTCCTCATGTTCCTGAAGAGCAGTCCTGAACTGCTGGATATGCAGGTGTAAAGGTCCCTGCAGCTTAGTGAGGAGAAGGAGTCGTAGTTCTCGGAATACCTCTGGGGTCGAGTGTTGATCTTCGGGAATTGGCAACCTCTCTCTGGGCTGCTGCATAAGACAGTGGACTGGCTTGATTTGTGCTGTATTCAAGGCATTGAGAGCTTTGCTTCCAGCCATGTTTCAGTGAACACAATTCTGAAGTGTAGGAAGCCCTGGCACTAGCTTTCATTTTCCTCAATTAATCACATTTTGTATCTTCCAGGTGTCTATCTTGAAAGGTTGAGCATAAGGCTGAGCAATTACATACATACATTATTAATGCTCCATTTTCATTTTGTGGAAGACAGTGAAAAAATATGGTGAAGTACTAAACTGAATATGCTCTGGTAATGGTTCAGACACTACCGGCACATAAAATTGTATTTGCATCAGTGCAACCTTGGTCACCATTCCCCTCCCAGTTCTTGTAGGCTTTCTTCAGTATCTGCTATTCCTTTTGGTGCTACTAAGATT